GAGCCAGCAGAGCAAACTTCAAAGCCACTTAATATTAGAGTCCAATGTAGTCAAACTTGTTTTTAACTTTAATTTTCTAGTGAAACAGCTTAACGTGTGAGCTAATAAGGCTGTGTCTTCAATAGTTACCATTACCTGGGGGATAGAGGGAGATAAAGATTTTTTTTTTTTTTTCTGATTTGAGAATCCTAATGCTTTTGCAATACCTGCCTTAACTCACTAGAATAGAGTTCTTTTCTAAAAGAGAAAAGTGCAAGGTAGTCCTGTGTTTTGTTAATACACAACATACCCATTTTCTCATATATTTGATTTGAGATTGTTACAGATAAGAATATTGTAACCCTTTGGGATCCACTATCCTGGGCTTAAGCTTTAAAATCCACATCCATAGGAGAAGGGGATTCATGTTTGTATTTTTTAGCGGAATGACACTTCTGCTTTGTTCTGATTTATTCTCTTTAAGGGGAACTTGGGAAACATTCAGTAAATCTGATTGGAAAACAGTTAACCTAATGTGTTCATCACATATAGACACTTCGATATCTCTTTTCAAGTGATGTAGATTTGCTCCATGTTGTTCATAAGATAACAGTGAATTATAGAAGCTACGTTTTTAGTAGTGGACCCTTCTGTATCATGTAGAGAGATTAATATTTTAAATAATATAAAAACTAGAGAACAAATTAGCCTAAAAATGTTGAGCTTTATAATAAGCCTGACCTACAAGAGCTGACTCGTATGTACATTGTTTTATTTTTTAATTTTTTAAGCAAAGTCATTTGAGTGGATGGGAGTGAAATAAAAAGGCAATATTGAAATTGTCTCAAAATAAACTTAAAAAATATTTAAGGAAATTGCTCTTTACACTGAAAAGCTGGTAACACAGGTATTTTAATGCTAATGCCACATTGGTGGAAAGTTTTCAGCAAGGAGGCATTAAGAGTGTTTAATTAACTACAGATAGCATCACATAAATATTTGACAAATTACCTTAGTACTAACAGAATCAGGTGAATACTAGCATTAGAGTGATGTTTAACATGAATTTTTTCCAACATAATGCTCATTCTATTAACCTTTTCTTAGTCCTTTATTTGTTGAAAGCACTTATCCCTTGCTCTAACTTCAAAATATAATGGAATCTTTCTGTAAGTGCAAAAGGGCAATTTGGTAATAGTATGTTTCATTTTAGACCTTTCTTTAGAAATTAGTTTCTAAAGTACCAGAAAAAATGACCAATGGTAGTCTCTTTGACTATCCTATGGCGTGGCCTCTGGTAACTTGCCATAACACAAATATTAGTATGCAGATACTGCATTTTCTGTTATTCTGAAAAGTAATATGCAAAACACCCAGCTTTCTTGAGTGTTTTTAATTTTGTCTTCTCGAATTTATCTAGATCTGAATATTACAAAGATAAAGGCACCAAACTAGCCATTCAGTGTTTCCATGGGTCATTTGAAACCGGTAACTGGATAACTCCTGGGAACTCCTTAGCAGATGTTAGATCAGCCATAGTCAAATGACAATGGAAAAAGTACTTGATGTTGAATGAGGCTAAATTACAGTTTAAGGAATAATTAGCATCACTTGAACTTGAAAGTAGTGTTACACTAGGGACTAGTCATGTCTAAGGCTAATGCAGTACATACAGAATGCTAAGGGATTAAAAACATTTCTCAGATGGGCACTTAAATCCTTACCTGAATGTCTGACTAATATAGTTCCTGTTTTGAGGCAGTAAGTCTAAACACCTGTTAAGATAAGACCTAGCAGGTTGTTTACAGGATTTGAGACCCAGAAATTTCAAAACAAGCTTACTCTAAATTTTTTATTGCATTAGTTTGATGTGTATAGTGGTAATTAATGGTTGTTCATGAGGAGATTTTTTTTTTAAGTTTTATTTTTGAGGAGGGGTGGAGGGGCAGAGAGAGAGAATTCCAAGTAGGCTCCATGCTCAGCACAAAGCTTGAGGAGAGGCTGGATCCCACGACCGACCACGAAATCAAAACCCTGAGATCACAACCTGAGCTGAAATCAAGAGTTGGATGCTTAACCAACTGAGCCACCCAGGCACCCTCATGAGGAGGTATTAATGCTGCTCACATCTTTAAACTTAGCATGCATAATAGGATATTTAATGTATCACCTGTATGATCTATCAGGGAGACTTAATGAGAATTTCTTTATCCTATGAATTTAATGTAGTTTATAATGTGCTGTGAGGCATGTTCCCCTTGCTTTTGAACACTGGAATTAAAGTTTTAAAGAATCTCAAGTCCATACATCACAAGACAATTGCTAAGGCAATATGTATGTTTAGGTTAAGGAACAACAACCTAAACAACCTAGTTTAGGTTAGGTTAAGGAATATTCAGTTGCTTCTGTATAATGTCTAAATAGAAATGAGAAAATGGTTTTGAAGGGTTATCCTTAAGCATTAAAATTAGATACAGAAAAGTTGATACATTCCTTAAAAATTATGGATCTTAGAAAAAGAGCCCAATATTTATTCTTGAGATAGCTCTCGGAATACTTCAGGGTATATGCATTTCTGAGATTTAATAGGGTGATGTTTAGTGTTGAAATGTCTTTCCCTTAGAACAAATTAAGAAGCCATAGGTTCTTTTCCTTTTTCAGTTTAGGTTGTTTGTGAATTGAAGATTGAGGAAATAAGCAACCAAAAATGGAGTTGATCTTCAAATACTGGAATTGCTATTTTCTTACATGTTAGTTTTTATTTAATGTTTATTTTTGAGAGCGAGCATGCGAGCACAAGTGGAAGAGGGGCAGAAAGAGAGAGACAGAATCTGAAGCAGTCTCCAGGCTCTGAGCTGTCAGTGCAGAGCCCAAGGCGGAGCTCAAACAAACTGTGAGATCATGACCTCAGCTGAAGCTGGATGCTTAACCAACTGAGCCACCCAGGTGTCCCAAAAATCTTTTTTTTTTTTTTTTTTTTTAGAGGAAGGGAGAGGGGCAGAAGAAGAGAGGGAGAATCCTAAGCAGGCTCCATACTCAGTGCAGAGCCCAAATTGGGGCTTGATCCCATGACCCTAGGATCAAGACCTGAGCTGAAATCAAGAGTCTGTTGTTCAACTGACTGAGCCATCCAGGCACCCCTCACATGTTAGTTTTTAAAGGTAGAATTATAATACTTTGAAAATCTCTCCATTATGACTTTTTCATACATAAGCATACATTATATTCAGTCTTTGGCCTACAATCTGCAATCAGCAATTTAGTTCTATCTTACATGCTCTTAGTTACATGACCTTGGGAAGTTTCTCTTCACTAGGCAAACAAAACAAAACAAAACAAAACAATTTCCCTCACAGGACACTTGAAACTTAAATATTTAGAATACTACCTTTATCCCTACTTTATAACATCATGAATTTTTTTTTAAAGGGAAAACTTTTTGTCATGTTACTTTTATGTAGATCATTGGAGTTCTCAACTCTTATTTTTTACCTTAATTTTGTACATTAGCTTGAAGTTAATCTATAGTGAAGTATAAAAGGTCTTTGGTTTTCCGTTTGCATTTCTTCATTCACTGGGATAAACTGAAGAGGTTGACTGAAGTGTGGTCTTCCTGATAATGGTTGTGAGGTGAATGGATTCTACCAAGAGTCCTTGGTGTTTCTCAGACCTCTGTGGAGCTTCAGCTCATTTCTCCCTGTCCTCCCCACCCCAAGTGATATACATTGTTAGATGAAAAACTCTTGGTGACTCGGATTTTCTTACTCCTATTTCAAGTGAGCCATTCACCATGTATAATAGGCCAGTCCTGAGGCCACAGCCTCAAAGCCCCACTGCCAGTGGATAGGTGGGTTTCCATATAATCTGAACAGCAGTGGACTGGAGTAGAACATGAATCTAGCTGATTACAGTTTTATGCCACCGGAACCAGTGATTATGTGTTATCAAGTAGACTGGGAGAGCGAGGTAAGGGGAAGCAGTGGGATGGCTACTGCCATATGTTTTAAATTTATGGGAGTAAAGTTACCAACTATTTACTGAGGAGCTCTTAACCGTATTAGGCTACGGGGATAAAACAAAGGCAGAATATATTAGGCATTCTCAATAATGTAGTGATATCTAGCATTGCTTACATCAGTGTTGGAAGGGAAAAAAAAATACCAACGTCTGCGTATCTACTCGGTTGCAAGAAGGAATTAGAAGACACATGATTTGAAAAGTGAAAAGCAGACACGTAAAAATGTTATTGAATACTCATGGACACGAAGCAAGTTTTCTTAGAGCAACACTAATTTTGAGTTCGGAAGGGCGGTGCCTTATACACATTCCTCCTTAAAAATCCTAATTTCGGGGCGCCTGGGTGGCGCAGTCGGTTAAGCGTCCGACTTAAGCCAGGTCACGATCTCGCGGTCCGTGAGTTCGAGCCCCGCGTCAGGCTCTGGTCTGATGGCTCAGAGCCTGGAGCCTGCTTCTGATTCTGTGTCTCCCTCTCTCTGCCCCTCCCCCGTTCATGCTCTGTCTCTCTCTCTCTGTCTCAGAAATAAATAAATGTTAAAAAAAAAAAATTAAAAAAAAATCCTAATTCCTGATTCGGGTATCTTCGGACAGAGGTTCAGAGTTGCCTTGCCCTGGGTCAACACATCTAGTTATGCAGTAGAACCAAGTTAAGAAACCTGATTTCCACGCATCCTTCCCTGAACCTCCCCCACACCCCCATCGACTTAATCCCAACCTGGATTTGAAATTTAGTGCTAGTAAATAGGGACAAAGGGATCTTCCCTATGAAACTGGATCTTGGTATTCCAATTACGAACGAAGACAATTCAGTGCTTTGCCTCACAGCTGGAAGGCCAGGTAGAATCGACCCCTGCAGAAATAACCCCTGGGCAGCTACACCACGGATACGCCAAAAAGGCGCCACGGCAAAGGTAGAAAGTAGACGGAGCCCCGCGAGGGCCGGACCGGGCGGAGGCGCCTCCCGCACCGCGTGCGCAGCCTCGCAGCGCCGCGGCCCCTCTGCCCGCCCGCTGCGTCCGCTGAGCCCGCGGCGGAAGCAGGGTCCCCGCCCCCCTCCGCCCTCCGCCCTGCGGCCACGGTTGCCCAGCGCGAGCGCGCAGTTGCCTGGGCGACAGTGAGGGGCTGGCTGGGAGAGGCCATGCATCAGGCGACGGTGCCGGAGCTTTATTCCCGGAGGAAGCGGACAGAGGGACAGGGGGCTTCCTCGCCGGAGGTAAGCGCAGCCTTCCTTGGTCGCCCCCACTCCCGAGGCAGGGGCAGGCCGGCCCTGCCGCCTCCTCCCGGCCCGCAGCTCTCGGGGCGCCCTCCACCCCGACACAGCTCCGGCCGAGCGGCACTCAGAGATGTGGGCAGCTGTGCCTACGAAACCCAAACTATGGAGGTGTACTCGGCCAAAGGGCAGAATTGAATCCTGGCTCCTCACCGGGATATTTAGATGTTTATGAAAGTTCCACCTCACCACCTCTAATTTGTTGGTTGCAAAAGAAATAGCCTTCCTGCGCAGGAAGCTGTCCTGCTCGGTGGGGGGGGCGGGGGGAGGGGGGGGGTGGCGGGGTGTGCGATCCGCGGGAAGAAAAGGCTGGTGGGTTGGAAGCTACCACTACTGAAAAAGTAAGCTGGTTCTTTGCCTACTTCCTCTGGGCGGGGTCGGTTCGAGCAGGCTCCCCTGCCTGTTATGAGTGTCTTAACTCCTCTGTTGAGGCTGCCCTGGGCATCAGTTTATTGTGGTCTGAGTCGCAGTTCATCGGTCAGTTGCTATGATGAGCCTTGAGACAGTAGTGCAGGCTAAGTGAAGTTTCCTTTCTTCCCTTCCTTTTCCTCCTCTTTCCCTTATTTCTCTCTTCCTTCTTTTCTACCGAAACTACATCTGAAAACAAGATGGGTAAAATCCTGGCTTCAAGATAAAAACAAACCAACCCCACAACACTTGAAGATACTACATCTTTATTGAATAAAGAGCGGCTAGTGGGAATTGTTAAAAGCTCATTATGCCATGTGTATTGTAAATTGAGTTTTTAATTATATTTGCTGCAATCATTTCATTTTACAGCAATTGGGATTACGATTAGGAATGTGGTACTGGAAAGATGAAACCAGAACTCTTGAATTCAGAAGGTAAATTTTATTGAAACTTTATTGTAGCTTTTATAAAAATTGCATGTGCCCAGAGTAAAAAAAAAAAAAAAAAATTCAAGCAATACAGAAGAATATAATGAGCAAAATAAATACCTGCTGAAATCCAACCATCTAGAGAAAACCATTTTGGTGAGCAGCCGTCCAGATATCATTTTCTGATAACATTTATCAGCTGCTTCCTATGGACCAGACACTGTGCTAATCAGTTTGCCAACCGTTTCAAAAAGCTGCATGTTCATCCAGTTTTACAGATGAAGAAACTGAAGCCAAAGGGTTAAGCAATTGGAGGAAAACTAAGTGACTTGGCCAAATCACACAGCTCACAGGTGACTAAGATGATTGAAATCTAGGTCTGTTTGGCTCAGGGTACATACTCTTAACTGCTTTATAAAATTGCCTCTTTGAGTTATAGAAATGTAATTGTACATTAATGGGACCGTATTATACTTGCTGCGCAATAGACTGCCAATTCTACAAGGTAAAATTATTAAATTAGAAAAAACTGGTTTTAATCTCCATTGAGAAAATACTGACTCTATTAAGTGCATCACTAAACTAATAATACTAGCCACTGTCTGCCGTGCTGTGTGCCTATTATGTGCCCGACATTTGCATGTTTTCTGATTCTTAAACAGCCATGGAAAGTGAGCATTATTATTATCTCCATTTTAGAGGTGAAGAAATAAGGCTCAGGAGACTGAGCAATTGAACCAAAGTCCTACAGCCAGTAAGTAGCAAAACTGACATTTTGAACCACAGTTTGTCTGATGCCAGAGCCCTTCCCGCCATAGACAGTGTCTCCCTCCTTTAGACTGTAAGCCCCTCAGTGGCAGGAACTGTCTTACTCATCTTTGTGTCCCTTGAAGGAGCTGTCTGTAGAACTTCACAGAGTAGGCCCTCACCAGATGTTTATTGAATATTTCAATACACCAACTAGATTCAAGTAGAGGAAGGCTAGAGGCAGGGGACCAGTTTAAAAGCTAGCTGTGGGAGGTTTACAGATAGCTGCCCAGGTACGAAACCATGAGTTGGCACGAAGTCCACGTTAGGAGGAATAGAGAGAAGGGTACGGGACTAAGAAATACTTAAGAGGTGGAACTGACAGGATTTCGGATAGAATGGATAAGATGTGAAGGGAGAGGGAGAGGAGGTGCTTAGGCTGACTCCCAGTGTCTCTCTCTTGGGTGATGGGGTGGCTGCGATTGCCCTTCTCCTGTATGCAGAATAACAGACAAAACTGTGATGTGCCTGAGGTTACTATGACACGTTCACATGCACATGTCTCTTAGGCTGTTGGACAAATAGGGCTGGAGGTCAGGAGAGGCTAAGCAGATGTAGTTCATAGTTACATCATAGGTAAAATGGCATTTGATGACAATTAAATAATAATTTAAAAAATCAAATTTTACATTTTATAGAATGTTTGTTTCGGTATTGCTGAGTAGTTTGTCATTTCCAAAGTGGTGATCTCAGTTTTTTGTCTGCAATAGTGTCACAAAATTCTGTTGTCTAGCTCCCGAAATATCACACTCAGTGAGTGTAAGATAGACAGTGAGAAGGACAGAAAGAGCTTTGGGATTAGCCCGCCACGATAATGGAGTCAAAATACAAGTTAAATACATGTTACAACACCAGATAATGTGGGTAGAAATTTTAAGTGCCAAAATGTTCTTTTCTCAATCTTCATGTATATTTAAAGGCCAACTCAGTCCTCTCTTTTTTGATGAAGGTGGACCGTACTTTTTACTTACTGACATTCTTTGTAGATGAAATTAATTTGCAGTATATTTCAAACTGATTTTCAGTGTGATTGGTAACTCCGATAACTAAAATCCTTGCAAGTCTGATTTTGCTAGTTTTTTTTTTCTTACAGCGTTATTAAAATTTTTTTAGGTAAGTGTAACATTTGAAACTTTTTGTATGGGAAGAGAGGTGCCTGGGTGGCTCAGTTGGTTAAGCATCTGACTGTTGATTTTGGCTCGGGTTGTCATCTCGTGGTTCATGGGCTTGAGCCCCATGTCACGCTCTGCTCTGACAGTATGGAGACTGCTTGGGATCCTCTCTCTCCCTCTCTCTCTGCCCCTTCCCTGCTTGCTCTCTTTGTCTCTCTCTCAAAATACCTAAATAAACACTAAATTTTTTTTAACTTTTTTTAAATGTTTATTTTTGAAAGAGAGTAGGACAGAGCATGAGTGGGGGCAGGGGGCAGAGAGAGATGGAGACACATGACCCAAGCAGGCTCCAGGCTCTGAGCTGTCAGCACAAAGCACAACGTGGGGCTCAAACTCCAGAGGTGCGAGGTCATGACCTGAGCTGAAGTCCCACGCTCATCCGACTGAGCCACCCAGGTGCCCCCAAAAAACTTTTTGTAATGGAAGATTTCAAGGATATACAAAAGTGGGAGAAGGGTATAATAAACTCCAACATGCCCATGATGCAGCATGAACAGTCACCAAATTAAGATCCACTTCATATCATCCACACCCATCTACTCCACCTCTTGATTATTTATTTAAAAAAAAATTTTTTTTTTTAACGTTTATTTATTTTTGAGACAGAGAGAGACAGAGCATGAATGGGGGAGGGTCACAGAGAGACGGAGACACAGAATCTGAAACAGGCTCCAGGCTGTGAGTGGTCAGCACAGAGCCTGACGCAGGGCTCGAACCCACGGACCGTGAGATCGTGACCTGAGCCGAAGTCGGATGCTTAACCGACCGAGCCACCCAGGCGCCCCACCTCTTGATTATTTTTAAGCAAATTGCAGACATCGTATCATTTCATCTATAAATATCTCAGTCTTTATCTCAAAAAATAAGCACTCTCTTAAAAAATAAACCTTACTATTTATGCATTTACAAATGGAAATGGTAATTTGTTTATATCATCATATATTCAATTTGCATTCAGGTATCTACTCTTCTCAACCTTTCAGTTCCTGGCTTCTTTCCTGAATGAGTGGCACTGGAAATCTTTTTTTTTTTTTAATTAATTAATTAATTTTTAAATTTACATCCAAGTTAGTTAGCATGTAGTACAACAAGGATTTCAGGAGTAGATTCCAGTGATTCATCCCCTAGGTATAGCAGCCAGTGCTCATCCCAACAAGTGTCTTCCTTAATGCTCCTTACCCATTTAGCCTATCCCCCCTCCTACAACCCCTCCAGCAACCCTCTGTTCTCTATATTTAAGAGTCTCTTTTGCCTTGTCCCCCTCTCTGTTTTCATTTTATTTTTGCTTCCCTTCCCTTATGTTCATCTGTTTTGTATCTTAAAGTCCTCATATAGTGAAATCATGTGATATTTGTCTTTGACTGATTTCACGTAGCATAATACCCTCTAGTTCCATCCACATGGTTGCAAATGTCAAGAGTTCATTCTTTTTGATTGCTGAGTAATACTCCATCTCACACACACACACACACACACACACACACACACACACACACACACACCACATCTTCTTTATCCATTCATATACCAATGGACATTTGGGCTCTTTCCATACTTTGGCTATTGTTGATAGTGCTGCCATAAACGTTGGGGTGCATATGTCCCTTCAAAACAGCACACCCGTATCCCTTGGATAAATACCTAGTAGTGCAATTGCTGGGTCGTAAGGTAGTTCTATTTTTAATTTTTTGAGGAACCACCATACTGTTTTCTAGAGTGGCTGCACCAGCTTGCATTCCCACCAGCTGTGCAAAAGAGATCCTCTTTCTCCGTATCCTCACCAACATCTGTTGTTGCCTGAGTTGTTAATGTTAGCCATTCTGACAGGTGTGAAGTGGTATCTCATTGTGGTTTTGATTTGTATTTCCCTGATGATGAGTGATGTTGAGCATTTTTTCATATGTTGGTTGGCCATCTGGATGTCTTTGGAGAAGTGTCTATTCATGTCTTTTGTCCATTTCTTCACTAGATTATTTGTTTTTTGGGTGTTGAGTTTGATAAGTTCTCTATAGATTTTGGATCCTTACCCTTTTTCTGATACGTCCTTTGCAAATATCTTCTCCAATTCCATTGGTTGCCTTTTACTTTTGCTGATTGTTTCCTTCTCTGTGCGGAAGCTTATTTTGATGAGGTCCCAATAGTTCATTTTTCCTTTGGTTTCTCTAGCAACATGGAGATGTGTTGAGTAAGAAGTTGCTGCAGCTGAGGTCAAAGAGGTTTTGCCTGCTTTCTCCTCTAGGATTTTGATGGCTTCCTATCTTACGTTTAGGTCTTTCATCCATTTTGAGTTTATTTTTGTGTATGGTGTAAGAAAGTGGTCCAGGTTCATTTTTCTGCATGTTGCTGTCCAGTTTTCCCAGCATCATTTGGGGAAGAGACTGTCTTTATTCCATTGGATATTCTTTCCTGCTTTGTCAAAGGTTAGTCGGCCATACGTTTGTGGGTCCATTTCTGGGTTCTCTGTTTTGTTCCATTGATCTGAGTGTCTGTTTTTGTGCAAGTACCATCCTGTCTTGAGGATTACAGCTTTGTAATACAGCTTGAAGTCCGGGATTGTGATGCCTCCAGCTTTCGTTTTCTTTTTCAGGATTGCTTTAGCTATTCAGGGTCTTTTGTGGTTCCATACAAATTTAGGATTGTTTGTTCTAGCTCTGTGAAGAATGCTGGTGTTATTTTGATAGGGATTGCATTGAATATGTAGATTGCTTTGGGTAGTATTGACATTTTAACAATATTTGTTCTTCCAATCCAGGAGCATGGAATATTTTTTCTTTCTTTCTTTTTTTTTTTTTTTTTTTTTTGTTTTGTTTTTAATTTTTTAATAAACTTTCCATTGTGGTTTTTTTTTTTTTTTTTTTTGTCCATAGTTTTCAATGTATAGATTTTTCACCTCTTTGGGTAAGTTTGTTCCTAGGTATTTTGTGGTTTTTGGTGCAATTATAAATGGGATTAATTCCTTGATTTCTCTTTCTGTTGCTTCATTATTGGTGTATAGGAATGCAACTGATTTCTGTGTATTGATTTTATATCCTGGGACTTTGCTGAATTCATGGATCAGTTCTAATAGTTTTTGGTGGAATCTTTTGGGTTTTTCCATATAGAGTATCATGTCATCTGTGAAGAGTGAAAGTTTGACTTCCTCCTGTGGCATTGGAAATCTTACCCTTCAGAGAAGACCTTGCTCTCTCTGTCACTGGCAATACCCCGAGAGGGATAACTGTATCAGAATAAAACAGGATATCCATAACCTCCACACAAGAAATGGACGCACAGTAATGGGTAGGGAAAGGATGGTCATTATTTCTTTTTTCTTTTTTTTTTTTTTTTTGAGAGAGAGAGCGCGCAAATGCATGCGTAGGGGTGGGGGTGGTAGAGGGAGAGAGAAGGAAATCTTAAGCAGGACTTGATCCCACAGCTCTGGAATCATGACTTGAGCTGAAATCAAGAGAGGGATGCTCAACTGACTGAGCCACCCAGGTGCCCTAGGCATTATTTCTTAATAGGCAGTTAAGGAAGAGACCTCAAAGAGTGGTTTGCAGGAAGACTTGGGTTCAAATCCTAGCTCTCCCAGTTTCTAGGTGATTATTATTTGTCAGGTTACTTAGCCTCGCTAATTATCGGTTCCGTTGTCTATAAAATGAAATCATAATGCCTTGTGAGGAGTAAATGAGGGTATTGCATAACTCATCAGCATGCATGTCCATTGCTTATTTCTTTTTTTAATTTTTTTTTAATGTTTATTTATTTTTGAGACAGAGAGAGACAGAGCATGAACAGGGGAGGGTCAGAGAGAGGGAGACACAGAATCTGAAACAGGCTCCAGGCTCCGAGCTGTCAGCACAGAGCCCGACGCGGGGCTCGAACTCACGGACTGCAAGATCGTGACCTGAGCCGAAGTCGGCCACTCAACCGACTGAGCCACCCAGGCGCCCCCCTTTGCTTATTTCTTAAAGAGGGAATAACTTTCTTCACAGGCCACCTCTGGGTTGTCCCATGAGGCAGGCTTCTCCCTGACATAGTGTCAGCAGTCCTACCCCTTCTACTCACAGCTGGGAGAGAACCAGCAGCTTGCTTGCATGAGTCTTTGCCAAGGTCATTGACGCCCCTGAGGACATACAGCTGAGGAAACTGTACCTCCAGAAGCCCTGAACTTCTCTCATCTTTCATAATGGCCTGAGAGAAGAGTCTAATAACCAACTGAGGAGCTCTAATTTGTGTGGAAGCCAAGAGTGGTCCAACCCTCTGCATTTTAGTGGTGGGTTCTAGGGGAAAATAAGATTTTTTTTTCCTCACTTATTTCAGGGCAAAGGGAAATGACATGATTATGTTGTAATATTAGAAATGTAACAAAATGTGGTCTGAGAAAGGCGCAGATTCTAACTGGGTTGCCAGGTGGAGACCGCGGGAGGGCACAGAACGAGCTCAGACTGCTGTTTGACAGCCAATCAGAGGTACAATTCAAAGGACAGCTTTTAGTTACTACTAGTGACACTTCCTAGTGATTTCAAATGCACTGTGAGCGTAGGCTGCCTGTAGAGCTACAGCAGGGCCCTCAACAGAGAGAAATCCTTCCCACTAGCTGAGGTAGAGAATGACTTCAGTCAAGGGAAATGCCACTCAGACAAGTGTGAAGTAGGGAAGGCATGTCCGAAGGTCAGAGAATAAGGACTAGAGGTTTAGCAGTACGTGTCAGACTGTTGGCTAAGGACAGGCACTCAGTGTCTTATTTTAAGGTGCTCTCATCTCAAATCATCTCAGGCAAATAGGGCAGGATGCTTTGAATTATAGGGATAAGACTGAGAAAAGGGCAGGAGACAGCAGTTTTATTGGGTATATCTATCTTCTCTTCTAGAGAAGAGAAACCCTGGGAGGGCTGGTGACCTGTGACTTCCTTAGCGTGGCGTAGGAAAGTTAACAGCCAATGGCTTGTAAGTGGCTAAAACCATGTGATGATCCAAGGAAAAATGTGAAAAAACTTTGTGTCCTTGTTTAGGATGGTTATATGAAAGAAGGAGGTACTAATCTGCACAAGGCATCTAGCAAGGAGAAACGGCTTCAAGGAGCCATTAGAAAATGTCAGGATATTTGGGGGATTTGATTATTTTGTTAAAGACTATCTAAATGGTCTGTCAATATAACATATCAACCATATAGTGTTTCTTTATATGTGCCTCTATCAACTTTTTCTTAGTTATGCAGGTAATAAGTCAATATGTTCTTGTTTAAAAACTTAATATGGAAGTATACAGATTGGAAGGTAGATCTCTTCATTACCATTTCACCTCTCTGCCCCATTCTGATCCCCTGTCTCTTTTTGGCAGTAGCCACCATCAACATTTGCTATTCTTCCATTTCTTTTTACCCACCCACGCCCTCAGTAGTTCAGCATACCTTCCCAGCATACCCAATCCTTGGAGACGAGGAGCACCAGAAATAATGAAAACCTTAGAAATCGTCCACTGACCAACTCAGTACCAATTGTCTTTTTTTTTTTTAAGTTTGTTTGTTTATTTATTTACTTATTTATTTTGAGAGAGTCACAGTGTAAGTGGGGGAGGAGCAGAGACGGAGGGAGAGAGAGAATCACAAGCAGACTCCATGCTGCCCGCACAGAGCCTGACATGGGGCTTGAACTCACGAACCTGTGAAATCATGACCTGAGCCAAAACCTAGAGTCTGACGCTTAACCAACTGTGCCACCCAGGTGCCCCTGGTGCCAATTATCTTTAACAAAAAAAAAAAAAGTTGAAAAATGCAAAGAATCATTCCCTTGCAGGGACACGATGTATATGCTTTTAGGAACTAACCTCTTCTACAACCTGAACACTGCTAGGAGGTTGGCAGAAACTCTGGGAAGAAGACAGAGTCAAACAGATTAACTTTATTATTCCCATGGAGAGGTATTTCTGTAAAATAATTACTTTGTGAGTAACATCAATCCCAGAAAATTTTCAGATGAAGTTGTTTTATAACTGTTGCGTCAAAAAACAAAACAAAAACACCCAACTGTTAAAAAACACACACAAAACTGTTGTGTCGACAGGGAGATAAAGAAAATATATATGATTGATATCCATCTTTAGAGAATGAGTAAAGTCTGGGGGAATGTGCTTCCATTACTACACCTACACGTAAGCAGAAAGACAAGAAACTGTGGGCAGAGATTAGGCTTCTGGGTTGTGTTATTGTAGCATTGTTTCAGGCGGAAAAATAAAAATCGTAATGCACGGTGGGTTTCCAAACCAGTGTATTTGGTAGACCCCACAATTCTCTGAGAAAATGCGCGCTCTATAAGGCAGGAACCACATTCTGCTGGTCTACAAAACGTTTTTTCTGGGTGGGGAGGGGGGTGGCACCTGGGTAGCTCAGCCAGTTGAGCATCCGACTTTGGCTCAGGTCATGATCTCGGAGTTTGTGAGTTCGAGCCCGAATTGGGCTCTGTGCTGATAGTTGGGAGCCTGGAGCCTGCTTCGGATTCTGTGTCTGCCTCTCTCTGTGCCCCTCCCCTACTCATGCTCTGTCTCCCTCTCTAATTGAGGGAGCTAATGCTCTGTCTCTAATGCTCTGTCTCCCTCCCTCCTCTGTCTAATTTTTATTTAAAAAAATTTAAATAGGGGTGCCTGGGTGGCGCAGTCGGTTAAGCATCCGACTTCAGCCAGGTCACGATCTTGCGGTCCGTGAGTTCGAGCCCCGCGTTGGGCTCTGGGCTGATGGCTCAGAGCCTGGAGCCTGTTTCCAATTCTGTGTCTCCCTCTCTCTCTGCCCCTCCCCCGTTCATGCTCTGTCTCTCTCTGTCCCAAAAATAAATAAATGTTAAAAAAAAAAAAATTAAGAAAAAAAAATTTAAATAAATTTTTTAAAAAAACATTTATTTTAAAAATACATTTTTAAAAAATGTTTATTTTTGACACAGAGAGCATGAGCAGGCAAGGGGCAGAGAGAGAGGGAGGCACAGAATCTGAAGCAGGCTCCAGGCTCCGAGCTGTCAGCACAGAGCCTGACGCGAGGCTCGAACTCACAGACCACGAGATCATGACCGGAGCTGAAGTCAGACGCTCAACTGACTGAGCCACCCAGGCGCCCCACCATTTTCTTTTCAATGTCAGAGCAATGTGTGACGGAGTGTGGCCTCATAGTATATGTTTGTTGCTCCGTCGTGGTCCCTTGTTAGCCCCATTACTGCTTAGTAAATGTTTGTACAACTATAGAGTTTAAGACACCCTGAGTTAAGTAAACGGTCCCGATACCTCCCAAGAGATAGTCAAGGCCCTTACAAGAGTCCACAGCAGTGACAACTGAGATGCTGCTCGGGAGGCCAGATTGCCTTGTAGGTAAGCACATGGCTCTGAGGCTAGAGATCCTGGGCCCCAATCCAGGCTCTGACACATGCTAAGTGATCTTGGTCAAGCTACTTATCTCTTTCTGAGCTTCAGTTTTTCTCATGTGTAAAAATGGCTGTACGAGTAACATTAGAGTAATCATACTAGTAATCATAGAGTTGCTGTGAGGACTGAGTAAGATTGTGCCTAAAAGCACTTGGTGCACAAGTGCTCAATAAATAAAAACATCTCTCCAAACTTACTGTGAGCTTTCTGTTTCTTGTGAAGTTACTACAATATCTTCAGAATGAAATGTTTCGTGTATGGTGGTATTCTGGAGGCTGCTGATACGTAGAGGCTGAATATAAAGTCTGAAATGTTCATCTTTTTTTCTAGATGGTTGTTCCATATGTAAATACACGAATTGAGGACCTCTGTGCCCGAGATTCTCCTCACACTCCACTCATGACATATGCTAGTCCTGAGATGCCATGAGTTACTGTTGTGATAGCATCAGTCTTCATGGGAAGGTTCGGTTCCTAATTTTCTCATTTCTATTACAGTTTTACACCTGCAGTAGAAGTCAAGGAAAAAGGAAAGAAAGGCAAAGCAATACACTTTGCTGAAATTGATGGTCCGGCTTCAGACAGGTACCTTCACTTCCCAACTGTGGCAGTGCTGCTGATAGCACCTCTTAGCAGAATGACTCAAGTGTTTACAAACTCTAAGAAAATGTCACTCCCATTATCTGAGGTTGAAATGCAGATACCCGTTAAGGAAAGAACATGCGCTATTTGACAATTGTGGGAGGAGTTATACCAGCCCCTGTAAATGTATCCCGGTGATAATTTGGCTCTTAGCAAATTTTCAACATTTTATACTTAAACAAATTTTTTTTTTTTGCTTTATTTTAGAGAAAGAGTGTGCATAGGAGTGAGCAGGGGAGAGGCAGAGGGAGAGAAGGAGAGAATTTCAAACAGGCGTCACGCCCAGTGTGGAGCCCAACACGGGGCTCAGTCCCATGACCCTGGGATCATGACTTGGGCCCCCACCAATAGTCGGACACTCAACTGACTGAGCCACACAGGCGCCCCTATACTTTTTTTTTTTACTCTGAATATGGTAGCTACACCATAAATACATGATCTTAATAGATGATCTAAATGATCTGTTTTGGATGGAATTGGCATTTACATTTTCTATCAGGTAGTGTGCATTTCTCCTAACCTTAGCATGGTAAATATAATGTTTAATAAAATGCATTCCAAAATTCTCCTACATGAAACCAAACCCATTTTTGGGTTTTGACGTTCAGGCTCTCCTTACTTGATAGTAAAAGCCTCATGCATCTCAGGATCAATTACATACAGTTGAAATCTTTCAAGTCACTGCTAGAGGCTGTTCCATTCCAAAACAGGTTGACGGATAAAAAGCTTGCTTCAAGAGACGATAAGTCACTTAAAGCCTTAGAGAAGCGAGGTCAGCAGGGCAACGTGACGCTCCATGATGCTAAATGTGAGTAGCTGGTTCATCATCCACACGTATCGTATGGGGGGTGAACCTCTGAGGCAGCCGTCTGTCCCTGTGTCCCTCTGTCCCTCTTTCAATTGTCCATCTTTGCTCCTTTCAGTTGTTGCTTTGTTTTTACTACAAGATAATGAGATGCAGCGGATCTGTTCCTTTACAACATTTATGAGGTATGTAGTGCTCATGAGATGTTTTATATCTTTTATCCTTAGTTCAAAGTAATTCCGCCTGATAAATGATGAACAAATCTGGTTTTTGGAGAAAGGGCGTGGGACTGGCTCTGTGCAAGCCATCACCTCAGACTGAGACCAAAGCGATAAGGCCGAAGTCACAGCAGCCCAAAATAAAGCGCTAGGGCAAGGAGAATGGATAGCATGTTGTCAAGAGTCCCATAGAGACTACATTATGTTTATATAATAGTAAGAGGGTATACTCGTTTACTAAAGACCCACTTTCTCCGTTTTTGGAACCCCAGCAAGTACTAGGTGTGTGACTCTGGGTGAAGCTTCTTGACCTTTCTAAGCCTGTTTCCTCAGATATGAAATCGGAAGTCGTTGTGTCTCCCTATGCCTGTGGGTGGAGGATGCTTCTCAGGGTGCCGCACTTGAGCGTGCTCAGTGAGAAGTTCCCAACGATTGGCAGCCCTCCCAGGTTCCCTTACGTTTAGTGAAGGCTGTTTGTGGCAAACACCTTAGGCTTTATTCCACAGCAGGGGCACACTCCTCCCGACAATGATGATGACGACAGGGCAAGCTGGGAGCACTAGGGAGTCAGTGTCCCTTCGGTCAGTGCTGTGCGAGGAGGGAGTGTTGGTAGAAAAAGATCCTAACTTTCATCCGTCAAGATAACTCTGAGAAGTTTTCCCCGCTGGAACTGAACTACATTTGTCCACGGGGATAACCAACTTGTTAACCACCCCCTTTGTGGGCTTCCTACCCTTTCCTGTCTCACTTCCCTACCCCACAACTGATGTTTCCTGTGCGCACATCCCACGTCTTTGTCTCAGAGTCTGTTTCTGGGAGAACCCACCCTAGGACAGGGACATATTAATGTGGTGGAAAAAAAATCTGCAGTGCTCACGTTCATCCTGTTGTCAAGGTATAGTTGAAGAAAGAATGTCAGTAAGAATTTCCACTTGCTAGAAAGAAAGTAGCAAAAATCTTGGAAGAGTATTTAGAAAGAAGACAAAGGCTTCTAATTTTTCCTTGTAGGACTGCCTTTGCTGCATGCATCCCACAGTAGTTTTTAAACAAATTAGATTGTGAATCGATGCAACCTTTTGCTCGAGCAAAACCATGAAACTTTAATATGCTCTACACTATGCCCTAGCAGTTTCACTCCGAGGAAGTTACTCAGAAATGTGGCCATCAGGATAATTACTGCAGCAGTATTGATAACATTTCTAAAAGACCTACATATCCATCAATAGAGGACTATTTAAATAAATTGTGAGTTATAGAATATTTTACCCAGCTGTTTAAGAGAATGAGGAAAATCGATCCATAGTATCAAGGAAAGAGGTCCATGCTAAGCAGGTAAGTGACAAAAGCAAGTTGCAAAGACTTGTGTGTACAGCATTATCTTCTTTGTTACCAAAGAAAAATTTAAGGCATATATTCATGCGTATGTATGTATGTATGTATGTATGTATGTAGGTAGGTGTGTTGGTGGGGGAAGACCTATACAATTGTCTCTGCTTTGGAAAGTTTAGAAAGGATTCAAGCCACTCTTAGCAGCGGCTGCCACTTGGAAGTAGGATAGTAGCAAGGGAGGAGAGGACTTTTTACTTTATACATTTGTGTAAAATTTTTAAAGAATGGGAAAATATTATTTGTATAATAAAAACTTATTAAAAATGAAAAGTAATTAATAAACAAAACTATAGTTTAGTGTGTGACCTCCCAAAAAGTTTTGGTTACAAAAATCCAATTTCTTACATCTTCAGTAGTATAGTAGACAGAATTTTTAAGTTTTTTTTTTTGTTTGTTTGTTTTGAGAGAGAAAGAGTGTACTGTGCAACTAGGGGAGGGACAGAGAGAAAGAGGGAGAGAGAGAATCCTAAGCAGGCTCCTTGCTGATCAGATTGGGATCCGATCTCAGGAACCATGAGACCATGACCTGAGCTGAAATCAAGAGTTGGACCCAGGTGCCTCAGTAGATAGAATTTTATTTTATTTATTTATTTATTTATTAAAAAAAAATTTTTTTAATATTTATTTATTTTTGGGGCGCCTGGGTGGCGCAGTTGGTTAAGCGTCCGACTTCAGCCAGGTCACGATCTCGCGGTCCGTGAGTTCGAGCCCCGCGTCGGGCTCTGGGCTGATGGCTCAGAGCCTGGATCCTGTTTCCGATTCTGTGTCTCCCTCTCTCTCTGCCCCTCCCCCGTTCATGCTCTGTCTCTCTCTGTCCCAAAAATAAATAAACGTTGAAAAAAAAAAGTTTAAAAAAAAAAAAGAAAAGAAAAAAATATTTATTTATTTTTGAGACAGAGAGAGACAGAGCATGAATGGGGGAGGGTCAGAGAGAGAGGGAGACACAGAATCCAAAGCAGCCTCCAGGCTCCGAGCTGTCAGCACAGAGCCCGACACGGGGCTCAAACTCCTGGACCATGAGATCGTGACCTGAGCCAAAGTCAGATGCTCAACCGACTGAGCCATCCAGGCGCCCCAGTAGATAGAATTTTAAATGGTAAATTAGTTGTGTAATAGGCATGATAACATGTACTTCTATTTATTCTTATGTCATGTGCCCATGTATTTTTATGAGAAGTTTTATATTTGAAATATGTCAACATTCATTTTTCTTCTTTCTTTCTTTCTCTCTCTCTCTCTCTCTTTCTTTCTTTCTTTCTTTCTTTCTTTCTTTCTTTCCTTTCTTTCTCTCCCCACAGGAATAAGAATCTTGACAATTTCCTCATGGCATTATTGTACTATTTATCTCATTACTTGGAAAAAATAGCCCTGGAAAAGAAACCCAAAAGCTGCATGGTGTAAGTAGGACTTTGCAGTGTGCTGTAAAGTTTTATCATTGCCAGTAATAAAACTGACTTTTTTCTTTCAAGCTTTTATTTAAATTCAAGTTAGTTAACATACAGTGTAGTATTGGTTTCAGGAGCAGAATGTAGTGATTCATTACTTACGTATAACACCCAGTGCTCATCACAGGTGCCCTCCTTAATGCCTATTATCCGTTTGGCCCATCCCCTCACCCACCTCCCTTCCAGCAACCCTCAGATTGTTCTCTTTAGTTAAGAGTCTCTTATGGTTTGCCTCCCTCTCTGTTTTTCTCTTATTTTATTTTTCCTTTCCTCCCCCGTATGTTCATCTGTTTTGTTTCTTAAATTCCACATATGAGTGAAATCTTACAGTATTTGTCTTTGTCTTCTTTCGCTTAGCATAATACACTCTGGCTCCATCCACATCATTGCAAAAGGCAAGATTTCATTCTTTTTGATGGCTGAGTAATAGAGATGATGGAAATTTTTTAATTTTTGGAGTATGCTAAAATATTTACATGGGAGGAGTTCATTAGTTTTTAAAGCTCACTGAATAATTCAAATAGTTATTCTAACAACAAAATATTCCAGATAGTATAGACCAGCACTGCCCAGTAGAAATATAAAGAGAGCCACATATGTAATTTAAAATTTTTTCAGTAGCTAGATTTAAGAAACATAAAAGATAAAGGCGGGGGTGCCTGGCTGGTTCAGTCAGTAGAGCATACAACTCTTGATCTCAGTGTCATGAGTTTGAATCCCATGTTGGACTTAGAGAGTACTTACAAATAAAAAAAATCTTAAAAAAGATAAAGGTGAGATTAAGTTTAATAATGTATTTTATTGGGGCGCCTGGGTGGCGCAGTCGGTTAAGCGTCCGACTTCAGCCAGGTCACGATCTCGCGGTCCGTGAGTTCGAGCCCCGCGTTGGGCTCTGGGCTGATGGCTCAGAGCCTGGAGCCCGTTTCCGATTCTGTGTCTCCCTCTCTCTCTGCCCCTCCCCCATTCATGCTCTGTCTCTCTCTGTCCCAAAAATAAATAAACGTTGAAAAAAAAATTAAAAAAGAAAAAAATAATAATGTATTTTATTTAATGCAGTGACTCAAAAATATCATTGAGACACGTAGTCAGTGTTATTGTATGTTATTGTAATGTATGTTATTGATGACATACTTTGCTTTTTTTTTTTTTTTTGTAGTAAATCTTTGAAATCTGACACTTATTTCCTCAGTTCAGATTAACCACAGTTAGTGCTTAGTAGCCACACGTGGCTCATGGCTACCATGTTGGACAGTGCAGATACAGATATTTGGTTTTATGCTTTTTATGCTTAAAACCTGCTTTATGCTTAAAAGCCCTGCTAGGGCTTTTGTAAGCATCCAATGAAAAAAACTAAGAATTAAGAAAATTAATAGATATGACCAAAATTATATTCCATATTACAGAAGAAAACAAGATTTCTTAGGCTACGTAGGAAGAATTTCACTGCTTTAGGCAGAGGTGGCTCAGAGCTGTATGGGGCAAGAATCTGGGAACTCAGAGTCCAGAGCAGAACAATGCCTCTCAGGCTTGGTGACCTTTTGCAAACCGTGGAACTTTCCAAGTGCCCAGGCTGCCCTCCCCAGTATGTGTGGAATCAACCCAATGATTTAGCTGTTAGAAATGCTGTTAGAGTCATCAATTTGTTGCTGTGGAATGTTTTTAAAATGCAAAATCCTTGTGTACAACCAAGCAGTTTGAAAACCATTTTATGGATAGATAAATATATCTGGATAGCAGTTTTGTAAAAAACCAAATAAATAATTCAGACACTGCTGGTCCAGTAAAGCCATCAAAATATACCACATCCGTGTTATTTCAAGGCTGCTTTCACTGCAGAGTGGCCAGAGCTCACGAAGGGTTTCTGTGGTGGCAAGCAAAAGGGCTTAGCTAGCTGTAGGCTCAGAAGGTTTGAGGGGTCTTATCGTCCCCCCAAAAGAACTTATTAGACTGTGGCAGCACATTCACTTATATTTTATATGGTGTTTTCTAATTCTGAGAGTTATTGCTGCTCTGGCAGAGACCTGTGTTTCATTTCTTCATTTTAGAAATAGATTAACAGAGAAGTAAGGTCTCCTGGGGTTTTTTTAAAATACACTAAAACATATTAGAGTACAGTGGTATAAGGTAGACTTTTTTAGAAGGAATCGGTTACAGAATGACAGAAAAATCCAAGTCTTAAAATGATTGGTTCCATGGGGCGCCTGGGTGGCTCAGTCAGTTAAGTGTCTGACTTCACCTCAGGTCATGATCTCACAGATCTTGAGTTTGAGCCTCGCATCAGGCTCTGTGCTGACGGCTCAGTCTGGAACCTGCTTTGGATTCTGTGTCTTCTCTCTCTGCCTTTCCCCTGCTCTCTCTCTCTCCCTCAAAAATAAATGAACATTAAAAAAAAAAAAAAGATTGCTTCTATGGTGTGATTATGAAATAATTAGAATAACTTTTCACTTTCAGGCCTCCAGTAATTAGTTTACTTACTATAGTAGAAATATGGATTGTATTGAAATATCTGGACTTAAATAACTTTAAGAAAAAAATTGATTTTGGTCAAACTAGTGAGGTATAACAGGGATAATGGTAGTATCCACTTTACAGAGTTATCATCCAGATTACATGAGATATTATCATCCAGATTACATGAGATAATGCATATTATTTTAAACCAGAGGCTGCCACGTGGGGGGAAAGCCTTCAGCCTGTGAGGGGAGAGCTGAAAGGGCTACAGAGACATCCTTTGGAGGGTTTAGACGACTCAAAGTCCCGATTCCAGAGGAAGGAGCCTTTTCCCCATTTTACAGATGAAGAAGCCAAGGCTCAGAGAGGTTAAGCGGCTGGCTGGAGACGACATGCCTCGTTGGTAGTGGAGCTGAGATGGGAGCCCAGATCTAACTCCCAGGCCTGTGCCTAAGCCACTGTGCGGTGTGTCCACACCCCCTACCAGTCAGCTAAGCTCTCTTATGCAGAGTTTATCCATTTACACTTAGGATTTGTGACTTCTGAGCAAAGGCAAAATTATGTTATTTTTGTTTTTCATTTTTTTAAAGTTTATTTATTTGAGAGAGAGCAAGCAGGGGGGAAGGGGCAGAGAGAGAGAGGCAGACAGACAGAGAGAGAGAGAGAGAGAGAGAGAGAGAGAGAGAATCCCAAGTAGGCTCTGCGCTGTTAGCAGGGCTCAAACTCACGAACTGCGAGATCATGACCTGAGCCAAAATCAAGAGTCGGACAATTAACTGACGGAAGCACCCAGGTGCCCCCAAATTACATAGTTTTTAGAACATTGTAAGTATTTTTCAAGTTACTACAATCTTCATAATTATAATTTTTAATGGTGGCATAACTTTCCATCAAGCTAATGTGTGTTATTGACTGATTGACTTACGAGGCAGTATAGCACATATACTGGTTAAAGGTATGGACTTTGGTGCTGCATAAATCCTAGGGGACTCATATGTTAAGTTAATAAATGTCAAGTCCTTAAGTGGCACCTGGCTGTATTACTACAGTCTGCATTATTACTACTTTTTCCCTTCCATTTTATAGATTTTTGGGAGTTGCCAGTTTTCCTAATAGACAAATAGATAATAATTGAATGATTATTGAATATCTTCATGCATTAGATTTCCCCCTTAATTTTGGATATTTTTTAAAGCTTATTTATTTATTTTGAGAGAGAAAGAGCGTGCGTGTGGGAAGGGCAGAGAGAGGGAGAGAGAGAATTCCAAGCAGCCTCTGCACTGCCAGCACAGAGCCTGATGCAGGGTCCGAACTCACAAACCATGAGGTCATGACCTGAGCCAAGATCAAGATTCAGATACTCAACTGACTGAGCCACCCAGGCACCCCTGGATAATTTTTCTAAGAAGGATAAATTTCCCAGAGAGATCATTGGACCCAAGGTTATGATCAATTGTATGGTGTATGAAATTATTATCAATTTTTTCCCGAAGGATTGCACCTGGGCGTGTTTTAAATGCCAGGCTCTACGCAGACCTGCTAAGTCAGGATCTTGGAGAGGGCGTGGCATTAGGAATCCGCACTTTCAGCGAGTATCCCAGGCAATTCTTACATATATTTCAGCTTTGGAACCATTGGCCTAAAAGTTTTCAAGGCATTTTTTTGTTGTTGTTGTTTTGTTTTCAACAGCAAAAGAGGCATGTTAGCTACTGGCAGCTCTGGAAAAGTCGGGGGGTGGGGGGGAAAGGGTTGGGCTGGGAGGCTGCTGAAGGAAGCAGGGAGGTGGGCATAGTCATGGCCATTGAGGTGCAAGCGGGTGTGGGTGTAGGTGTTTGGATTATTTGAAATTGGGGCATTTCAAGTTGGAACTCACTTTATTCCAGAAACTCATTTTATTCCAGTGACTCAAGCCTTCTCATCACATGTGATAACATGTTGTGCTTTGAAATATCTCTATTATCTTTAAACCCCTTCCTCCACAGCATATCCTCATGTGGTCAGTCAGGCTCGTAGTTAACATCAGAAGGGGCAATAATTCGTCCCTGTTGTTTAGGGTGCATTTCATTGGGTTTAAATCTTTCTGAAAATGAAAAGGCAGATAAAAATCCAGTGACACTGCACTTTTCAATAGCAATCGTTGGAATGTGTTGTGAGTAATGTTGTTTCGTACTATACTGTACTGCACAAACTTCTAAAATTAGGCTCCAGACATGCTGTAACAGGTTGTCTTTTGGAATGTTCATTTGCAATTCAATTGGAACTGGGGCAGTGTTTTCACAGGGAAGCGAGGCTGTTATAATTGATGCCAAAGCTCCCAGATTAGTGGTCCACACATGCTTCCTCAGCAAACGCAGAACTCAGAGTAGGGAAGCGTTGAGTGGTTCAAACACTGAGCCTTCACACTTCCTTGTAACATCAGGAACCCAGGGGAAGCTGCCCTGGGAGAGTCTCCAGTAGCTCTTTCAGCAAAACAGCAGGAAAATGTGCTGCCAGCTGCCTCAGAAACCAGTATAGGTAATTTGTTAGTTGGGCTGCTGGGCTATTTGGTATAAATTAGGACTGCCTGTATGTAACGTTAGAAATACATAGCATAAAGAATCTATAAAAAAGTGAAAATTCACCATGAACCTGAGATGCTAATTACAATGGTAACTGTCAAAGCCCTCCCTCTGCCATAGCTCAAATCAGCTAAATGAAAAGGTAAGTGACCTGTGTTGACTCACTTGTTATTTCTTTCAAAACAGTTCACACTTCTGACTGTTCGCTGATTACTGTTGGCATTTGCCAACATTAATCCAAATGACTGTTTTCTTTTTAGGGGCCTTGTGGAGAAGAAGGAGATGGAATTGGTTATAAGGAAGTTAGAAGCAGCGCAGAATTACCTGGCACAGAAGTACTGCGTCCTTCTCCTGGGCTTGGCAATGCCTGATAAGCATCACATGTGCTGCGGGAAGTAAGTGCACACTTAGGATTTCATGAGATCTCCACGTGTGTGCATATCCATATCCTTAAGATCCTTACATTTGACTTCTGGAGCCCTTGCAAAAGTTTCCTTCCCTGTTGTACAGAATAATTGGGCTCAGGTGAGACTCTGCCCCAAACACACGTGATGTCTCGTTTGAGAAAGCCAAGTGAGTATGCGAAGAACCTCAGAATCGACATTGCTTAGGTTTAAAAGACTTTTCTCTCAGCATATACTGGCTCAGTAGAATCTTGCTCTCAACCTGGAAGGCTTCCTGTGGCTGGCCAGGGTCCCCACGGTGATGAGCCAGTGTCCCAGGGGGCCCTGGGTGTGTCCCCTTCCGCTGCTCATTTTGTAGCAATAGTAGTGGGTGCAAGCTAGTAAGGTGGGGGTTATAAGATGATGCTTTTTGTGGGGAGTTGATCTTTGCCTTAGAAGGACAGTTTATATATTACTGTAATTAAAATTTATCTTTTAAAGTTTATATTGAGAGTGTGTGTGTGTGTGTGTGTGTGTGTGTGTGTGTGTGTGTGCATGTGCACATGCACAGGCAGGGGAGGGGCAGAGAGAGAATTCCAAGCAGGCTCCACACTGTCAATGCGGAGCCTGGCTTGGGGCTCCATCTCATGAACCATGTGATAATGACCTGAGCAAATTCAAGAGTCAGAAGCTTAACTGACTGAGACACCCAAGCACCCCTCTGTAATTAAAATTTAAAAGCGTCTTATCACAGGAGAGTTGGGAGGCATTGGAGGGAAAACTCTGATCCTTAAATACCGACCCCCTCCCCCCAAATCTCCTCCTCTGAGCAGTTTCACAACAGGCTCAAGGGCCATACCACGGCCGTGGCCCGAACTCTTATTTTTAACTTCATAGGCAAAGAACACAATTCATGGTTTCTCTCCGCATTCCCCACATTGTCAAGATACAGATATTTCTATATGCTTTGTTCATATTCTGTATTTTCTATGTCCCTTATTCTCTTATTCTGCTTACATAATTTCACCTACATAATTTGTTTTTTTTTTTTTTAATTTTTTTTTGGGGGCGCCTGCGTGGCTCAGTCGGTTGAGCATCCGACTTCGGCTCAGGTCATGATCTCACGGTCCGTGAGTTCGAGCCCCACGTCGGGCTCTGCGCTGACAGCTCAGAGCCTGGGGCCTGCTTCGGAGTCTGTGTTTCCCTCTCTCTCTGCCTCTCTCCTGCTCATGCTCTGTCTGTCTCTGTCTCAAAAATAAATACAAACATTAAAAAAAAAAAAAAAATTTTTTTTAACGTTTATTTTTGAGACAGAGAGAGACAGAGCATGAGGAGGGGCAGAGAGAGAGGGAGACACAGAATCTGAAACAGGCTCCAGGCTCTGAGCTGTCAGCACAGAGCCCGACGCGGGGCTCGAACTCACGGACCGTGAGATCATGACCTGAGCCGAAGTCGGATGCTTAACCGACCGAGCCACCCAGGCACCCCCCACCTACATAATTTGAATAGCCACTATAGTTACTCTACCGTGTAATAAATGCACCAGTTTGTTTCACCATTCCTTCTGTGCATGCTTATTATGTGGTTTCAGTTTTTCTGCTTTGTGATATTTCTGCATTGGATATCTTTACATAAACTACTTTGTCCATTTGGGCTATTTATTTATGGCTTATTGCCCAGAATGTATTTACCTAGAAGGCATGGACAGGTTCTTAGCTCTTGTAACATATTGCCAGATGTTCTCCAAAAAGGGTAAACCATTTTGTATCACCATCAGCAGCAAGCGTACCTAGCTCTATTAGTTTGATTTTTTTGATAGCTTGCAGTTGTATAAAAAGCTTACAGCTATTTGACTTTTGAATATCTTTCATGAGTTTGGAGTCTGTGCTCTTTTTCTGTATAAAATAACTTATTGCCTGATTATTATATTTGTTATTAAAATTAATTATTGCCTCATCTAGTGTTAACCATTTATCAAGTAGAAACTGGGTATTTGTATAATTTATGTTTCATGTAGCAAGGATTTCCTATTTGTTTTTCTAGTTTGTTGCTTTCCTTTTGATGTTTATGTGTTTTGACATTATGAAAATGTTAAGAATTTTTGTTTATTTGAACATTTATACCTTGTTTCTTTTTTTAAATTTCTTTTTAAAAAATTTATTTTTTTAATCTACATCCAAGTTTGTTAGCATATACTGCAACAATGATTTCAGGAGTAGATTCCTTAATGCCCTTAACCCATTTAGCCCATCCCCCCTCCCACAACCCCTTCAGTAACCCTCTGTTTGTTCTCCATATTTAAGAATATCTTATATTTTGTCCCCCTCCCTGTTTTTATATTATTTTTGCTTCCCTTCCCTTGTGTTCATCTGTTCTGTATTTTAAAGTCCTCATATGAGTGAGGCCATGTGATATTTGTCTTTCTCTGACTAGTTTTGCTTAGCATATAATACCCTCCAGTTCCATCCACATAGTTGCAGATGGCAAGATTTCATTCTTTTTGATTGCCGAGTAATACTCCATTGTGTGTGTGTGTGTGTGTGTATATATATATATATATTTGTGTGTGTGTGTGTGTATATATATATATATTTGTGTGTGTGTGTGTATATATATATATATAATATATATATAAATATATCACATCTTCTCTATCCATTCATAAACCAGTGGACGTTTGGGCTCTTTCCATACTTTGACTACTGTTGATAGTGCTGCTGTAAATATTGGGGTGCATGTGCCCCTTTGAAACAGCACACCTGTATCCCTTGGGTAAATACCTAGTAGTGCAATTGCTGGGTCGTAGGGTAGTTCTATTTTTAATTTTTTGAGGAACCTCCAGACTGTTTTCCAGAGTGGCTGCACCAGCTTGCATTTCTAGCAGCAGTGCAAAAGAGATCCTCTTTCTCTGCATCCTCCCCAACATCTGTTGTTGCCTGAGTTGTCAATGTTAGCCATTCTGACAGGTATGAGGTGGTATCTTGTTGTGGTTTTGATTTGTATTTCCCTGATGATCAGTGACGTTGAGCATTTTTTCATGTGTGGGTTAGCCATCTGGATGTCTTTGGAGAAGTGTCTATTCATGTCTTTTTCCATTTCTTCACTGGATTATTTGTTTTTTGGGTGTTGAGTTTGATAAGTTCTCTATAGATTTTGGATACTAACCCTTTATCTGATATGTCCTTTGCAAATATCTTTTCCCTTTCTGTCGGTTGCCTTTTAGTTTTGCTGATTGTTTCCTTCTCTGTGCAGAAGCTTTTTATTTTGATGAGGTCCCAGTAGTTCATTTTTGCTTTTGTTTCCCTTGCCTCTGGAGACGTGTTGAGTAAGAAGTTGCTGTGGCCAAGGTCAAAGAGGTTTTTGCCTGCTTTCTCCTCTAGGATTTTGATGGCTTCCTGTCTTACATTTAGGTCTTTCATCCATTTTGAGTTTATTTTTGTGTGTGGTGTAAGAAAGTGGTCCAGGTTCATTCTTCTGCATGTCGCTGTCCAGTTTTCCCAGCACCATTTGCTGAAGAAACTGTCTTTATTCCATTGGATATTCTTTCCTGCTTTGTCAAAGACTAGTTGGCCATACGTTTGTGGATCCATTTCTGGGTTCTCTATATTGTTCCATTGATCTGATTGTCTGTTTTTGTGATATTTTTTTTTAACAAATGTTTTAAATGTTTATTTTTGAGAGAGAGACAGAGAGAGCAGGGAAGGGGCAGAGAGAGAGGGGGACAGAGGATCTGAAGCGGGCTCTGTGCTGACAGCAGGGAGCCTGATGTGGGGCTTGAACACACAAACCTGAGCTGAAGTCAGACACGTGACCAACTGAGATACCCAGATGCCCTTGTTTCTGATGCTATTCAAAAGTCATATAAGTTCATCATCAGCTTTCCAATTACCTTTTCAATCACTTGTAAAATTTCTTTTTCTCATCATTACTCTAATTTCTTCTGTCTGCAAATTGTCACTTCAAATTGAGAAAACTAGAATTTGTGGTTTGTATTAGTCAGCTCGGCTGCCATAACAAATTACCACAGACTGAATGCCTTAAACATCAGAAATTTTATTTTCTCATAGTTCTGAAGCTTGGAAGTCTGAGATCAGGAGGCCAGCCTTGTCGAGTTCTGGTGAGGGCCCCCTTCTTGGCTTGCAGACAGCTGCCTTCTCACTGGGCCCTTGTTGGTGGAAAGAGAAAGCCCTGGTCTCTCCTTCTTTCCTTTTTTAAATGTTTATTTACTTTTGAGAGAGAGAGCAGGGGAGGGGCAGAGAGAGGGAGATAGGATTGGAAACCAGAAATGGGCCCTATGCTGATAGCAGAGAGCCCAGAGAACCCCATATAGGGCTTGATCTCACAAGGCCTGAGGTGAAGTCAGACACTTAACCAACTGAGTCACCAGGTGCCTCCTTTTTTCTTGACACTAATCCCATCATGGGGATTCTACCCTCATGATGTCATCTGAACCTAATTACTAAGACCCTACCTCTAAATGCTATCACAATGGGGGTTGTTAAGGCTTCAACATATGAATTTGGGGGTGGGGCTGGGAGACACAAACCTTCAGTCCACAACAAAGTTAAAAAAACACCTACTCTAAAAAAATAATTGAATTGCCAATATTTAATGTTTACTCTTTAAAAGCACATGTGCATGCAGTACAGACTAATTTTGAGATTAAAAAACCCAAACTATAAATAATTATATCATAATTAGAGATTTTATCATATCTTTTAGTTCTGTGGATATAGAACCTACACTTCAGTTATTTTTTTTAAGATAAATTCTCTCTTTTTTTTAATGTTTAATTTTGAGAGAGAGAGAGCGAGCAGGGGAGGGGCAGAGAGAGGTGGAGACACGGAATCTGAAGCAGGATCCAGGTTCTGAGCTGTCAGCACAGAGCCCAGTGTGGGGCTCAAAATCACAAACTGCGAGATCATGACCTGAGCCGAAGTCAGATGGTTAACTGACTGAACCATCCAGGCATCCCAAGTTATTATACTTGGAATGGTACATTTTTTTTTTATTTATATATGAAATTTATTGTCAAATTGGTTTCCATACAACACCCAGTGCTCATCCCAAAAGGTGCCCTCCTCAATACCCATCACCCACCCTCTCCTCCCTCCCACCCCCCATCAACCCTCAGTTTGCTCTCAGTTCTCAACAGTCTCTTATGCTTTGGCTCTCTCCCACTCTAACCTCTTTTTTATTTTTTTTCTTCCCCTCCCCCATGGGTTCCTGTTTAGTTTCTTAGGATCCACATAAGAGTGAAAACATATGGTATCTGTCTTTCTCTGTATGGCTTATTTCACTTAGCATCACACTCTCCAGTTCCATCCAAGTTGCTACAAAAGGCCATATTTCATTTTTTCTCATTGCCACGTAGTATTCCATAGTGTATATAAACCACAATTTCTTTATCCATTCATCAGTTGATGGACATTTAGGCTCTTTCCATAATTTGGCTATTGTTGAGAGTGCTGCTATGAACATTGGGGTACAAGTGCCCCTATGCATCAGTACTCCTGTGTCCCTTGGATAATGGAATGGTACATTTTTATTACAATCTAATTTTTATACAAACTTTAAAAGAACTCATTCTGTTTGAAAGATAGTGATTGCCTTAGTTTACTACGAGTTAATCACCAGGAGGTGCTGGTCTTTTTGCAACATCACCTGCTTTTCTCCTGCCTGCCAGATAGCAGTTTGGAGAAGAATCCATTTAGAGCTTACCACCCACCATTCACATAACAGATTCCATGCAGGTCAAAGAGGCAAACAAAGGATATTGAGGAAAACAGATTATAGCATGTTTTTGCCAGTAAAAGTTGTTAATTGGCCATGGGTGTTGATTATATCCTCCAGTGGAGTTTTTATTGTTCTTTGGCTATTTTTTTATTTTTTATTTTTTTAATGTTTATTTATTATTGAGAAACAGAGAGACAGAGCATGAGCAGGGGAGGGGCCGAGAGAGGAGGAGACACAGAATCGGAAGCAGGCTCCAGGCTCTGAGCTCTTAGCGCAGAGCCTGATGCAGGGCTTGAATTCACAAACTGGACATCGTGACCTGAGCCAAAGACGGGCTTAACTGACTGAGCCACCCAGGCGCCCCTTTGGCTGTTTTTATGTAGAAGATGAGGACAGTTTTTGCCAGTTAAGAGTGATTACCTGATTTTAACATATCTTTATTTCACTTCCAATGTGAATAGGTTCATATTCTCATGAGAACATCCTCATGTGTATTTTCTGACTTTTTTTGTCTAATATATGCACACTTAATACTGGACTAGGACATCTTACACTATTTGTCTCGAGTTAAATTAAAGACTTCAGAGGAACCAGCAATTTGGGGGCTGTTAATTTTGTGCTTTCATGTTTCTTGAGAAGTAGGAGGACATGCCTTTCTACTCTAAATACATCTGTAAAATCCTGATATCGAGCAGGCTTTGGCACGATTTTGATGAACATATTCAGTAAAAGATCTCTGTTTTCCAGGATAGATAAGAAAACCTCTCTCTATGTGGCTCCCGCCATAGAATTAGACGTATTCTTTGGTTATGGCCAATTTGGGCTCCACCCCCATCTGTACCCTAGGATTTCCACCTCCCTCCTTTGCAGCTGGCACCTCATGGCTGACCAGAGAGGCTGGTGTGCAGATGAGCATAAGGAGAAAGGGGTTCATTAAGGCTCAGTCTATAAATCATCCTTAAGCCCCATTCCCTATTCCCACCCCTCCCCCCAGTCACATGCAGTAAGGCCTCTTTCCCCTCCCCCCAAATACATTCCTTTTATATTTCTCTTCCTTTGTGCAGACTAACCCTTGACCCTCATTTAAACCCAGTTTCACCCAAAGCAGCACGGGGAATGGGAACATAACATGACATAAGTGGGAATCATAACTTTTCTTCCCTTGGAACTGGAACCCTTTAGGTTTGGCCCTAGGCTTTTTTTTCCAGGAATGACTAAAAATATGATGTATTTCCTTCATTTTGGCTTAGTGCTAAGAGTCTAATGTAGCAAGAAGGATAAGAAAGCATGATAATAGGCCACTGAAAATCTGTGGATTTATCGCCAAGCTGGCTTTCCCCTCTTTCCTTTGGAGCCTGCCCTTGCCGGTGAAATGTGCAGCATTTTTGCTGACTAGCTTGGTAGCAACTAGTCAACTAGCTAGCTAGTTGGTAGCTCAACTAGCAAGGGCTGTTGAGCCCTTGGAATGTAGCTGGTCCATATTTAAAGGTGCCATAAATGTAAAACATACACTGTACAGAAAAGTCTAAAAATGGATGAAATACCTCATTCTAAAATATTGATTACATATTAAAATAATATTTGAGGGTTTGGATACAATAAATGTATTGTTAAAATTAATTACACATGTTTCTTTTTACTGTGGCTACCAGAAATTTTAAAATTACATTTGTGGGCGCACCTGGGTGGCTCAGTCAGTTGAGTGTCTCTTTTTTTTTTTTAATTTTTTTTTTCTCTTAACGTTTATTTATTTTTGAGACAGAGAGAGACAGAGCATGAATGCGGGAGGGTCAGAGAGAGAGGGAGACACAGAATCTGAAACAGGCTCCAGGCTCTGAGCTGTCAACACAGAGCACGACGCGGGGCTCGAACTCACGGACGTGAGATCACGACCTGGGCCGAAGTCGGACGCCCAACCAACTGAGCCACCCAGGCGCCCCGAGTGTCTGACTCTTGATTTCGGCTCAGGTCATGATCCAGGGTCGTGGGATTGAGCCCCGTATTGGGCTTCATGTTGAGTGTGGAGCCTGCTTAAGATTCTCTTTCTCTCTCTCTCTCTCTCTCTCTCTCTCTCTCTCTCTCTCAAAAATAAACATTAAAAAAAATTTTTTTAGACCCTATTTCAATTTGAGGATTTGAAGTGTTTAAATTTGTTATTTATACTCAGTAAAATTTGAAATTTATAATCAATTTATAATTATTATGTACCTAACATAAAAATTATGAAATAAAATTGAAAAGAAAAACGACTCAAAATGCACTAAGAGATGAATTTGCAGATCAAACTAGGAGGTTCCCAAATGTGCTCATTTTCTGCCTCCATTTCCTGGACTCATTTCAGGTTTATATGCGGAGCTAAATCAGAATGCTAAGAAGAAGCCCGTTACATTTTGTACTTGATTTCCACAGTGTAGGCTACATTAGTTTGCTTTAGGCTTTAAGGGAGAAGAAGTCCCAGTTTTATGGCAACTTGAGGGGAAGGAGAAGAGGTTCATGGTACCTTCTCTTCTAACGTTTAAAAAGAGAAGAAGAGAAAGTGTGTTTCCTGTGCAATCTCGGTGTCATTTCAAAATCTCACTAAGATGGTGCTGGTTTGAGTTGTACAAACGCAAGTGCTGCTCTCAGTCTTCTCCCAGAAGGCAAGCTGACTTGGTATTCCAGAAACTGAGTTTGGTTGGTTTGTCTGCAGGGTGTCTGGTTTCAGCTGGCAGAGGCCGTGGAAGGGGGGAAATGCCACATGAGCACTCCTGTCCGATGGGGGCCTCAGGTGGCACAGAAGGACCCTGAGGCTTGTCCCGAAAGCTTGTGCTGGGCTCTGTAGTTTAACGTTTTTATTCTGCAAAATATTCTAAAGGAAAAGCTTTTTTTCTCTAGCATTCTGGTTACAGGGACAGTTGTGGAGCTGTGACAGGCCCAAGTTCTAGTACAGACTCTGTCCCTAATTAAATATGTCTTTGGACTTCAGTCTCCTCAGCTGTAAAGTGAGAATGATAATGCTGACTACACCATAGGGATCTTATGAGGACTAAATATGATCATTTAAATGGTTTAGCATAATGCTTGCCACATAGTCCGTACTTCATACACGCTCACTGTGTTTATTGCCTTAGCTCCTTGTTGAAGACTTGCACGTGAGGAAACCAGTGTGTGAATGAAGATGTTGCAGGAGGGGAGGGGTCCACCCCGGTAAAAGCTGAACCACTTCTTCAGTGTTTCCTTCAAATAGAGGGCTAACGTAGGCTCACACGGATCATGTAGTCCCTGTGAGAAGGCTGGAGGTCCTGAGGGGTTTGGGTCTTCTGCCCCAGACCACCAGAGTTCAGGACGGTTTTTGAAAGTCTGATAACAAGGGCCAATCCTTGGAGTCTCTGGCTCTGAAAGCAAGAAGCAGAAGCGAGACCAGAATCTGCCTTGGAGTGCCTGGGTCTAGCGTCGGCCCCCTTGAGGGATCAAGTGATTGAAGGTGCACGGCCCTTCTCCATCAGTTCACCAGTCCTCCGCCGGCCATGCCTGCTCTCCTCAGGCTGGGAATCAGAACTAGAATGGCCCATCTTAGGGAGGGGGCCAAGCTCAGTAAGCGTGCCCATGTCAGTACAGTATCCTTAACATTGAATTTGTGTTACAAGGACTCCTGAGCAGATGCCTGCCTTTAGGAGACAAGGCTCAGCGTGCATACTGCATCTAGAAGGAAGAGCACACTGCTGTCCCAGTCGACTAGACATTTTTGAAAATATTTTTTATCATTTTCTTTTTGTTTAAGATTTGATTCTTTGTCTTTTTCTCCATTTTAGATTTACCCTCTAGTTCTTTATTTCCCTACCTAGTAACACCCCATGTTACCTCGTTACCACCTTCCCTCTCTCCTTACTCCCCGACGCTCACATCACCAAAAAAAAAACGTTCATTTCCTGCTGTCTTGTTTATCCTGAATTTGCATTGGGTGTTGATCTGGATAACCTAAGAAGTTGAAGAAAAAGATAACTGGGATTCATCAATGCCTTCTGATAGCATTTATGCGGCTAAATAGCCTTGGGGCCATGGGTATTGATCCTTTTGAAGATAGGGGCTTGCCCAGATCACTGAAAGATTGAACTTACCTCTCCACGTATAGTTGTGATTTTTTGCATTGCAGGGAGAAAAGATCAGATACACAGAAAGACTGGAAATTCTTTGAGGTGAGTCAGTTACCTTTTGGGGCTTTTCTCTTTTATATGAAACATGAAGTAGACCAAGAACCAATAGCCATGTGTCAGGCACTTATTTTTAGTGAATATCTTTTCTTCAAAGGATGCTAACAAGCTGTATGCCATCTCTTAAATTTTCCTCCTGCAAAGGTGAGTACATGTGTAATTTGCCACCACTTTTCAGGAATGTGCAGAAATTGGGTTATCTGGGTTCGTGTCTGCTTAGCAATGTTCTATAGACAGGTAAGAGTTCCTACCACCATAGCTGTGCACTGTGATTCTCGTCTGTTTTCTGTTGTAGTCCTTTTACACTTTCTGTACATATGTAGCTTGGATTGTGTTCCGACGTCAACACTTCACAGAGATTGAGGAAGAAATAGGAAGGCTCTTTCGTACCAATATGTTCAACATTCCTCGGAGGAAGCGTGAGGAGGAGGAATCAGGAGGGGAAAAGAAACGCATGACTTTTGTACAATTCAGGTATGACATTTTGACTTTCCAAAGCTCGAGAACATTTCTAGAAAACTGGATGATGTAACCTAAATGTTACCTCTTCCCACCCAGGAGAATGATGGCGAAACGCCCAGCAATTAAAAAAGCCATTAACATGCGCTCTCCAGTCATGTCTACTCTGCTGCCATCTCTCAGAGAAAAAGCTCAGAATATCTTTGAGAAAAAGTATCATCAAGGAGTCGTCAAACTCCCGGCCCCGATGCAAGAGCACATGGAAAGTCTGGACTCTGTGTTCATGCCAAAGTAAGTGGTCCAAGGAGAGAGAAAGGAGAGAGCCCTGGGTTGTGTGCTAGGTTGGGCTGGGAGGGGCAGGAGTTTAGACGCCGTGCCAAGGCCAGAAAGTTGAACGAAGATGAAAGCACCACCTTCCTACTCACCCCCTCCCCTCTGTACCTGCTTCCTTTCCCAGGCAGCTCTTGGTACACCCATCTAGACTAGAAAACATTGCTAGAAAGTTATGCTAGCCTTCAGATGGTTCTCATTTGGAGGAGGGAGTAGCAAACTCCATAAGCTGAGGGTTTTCCATTAGAAGACATATCTCTGGTAAGTGTGAGGAGAACCATTACAAAATCTTACTGTGGGCTGCTTTTGGACCCCTATTTAAAATCACAGTGGTAGTTCATGGAAACGGAAAACTTCTATGTGTGTGTGTAATATGTGCATGTGTGTACGTATGTGTGTAGCTTACACACAAGCACACAACCACAGCTATACACCTCATTCTTTGGCCACACTGCTTCAGCTATACCAATAATTCTTTTCACAGAGTTGGCATCTTGGGGGAGCCTCGATGTCAGTTCAACCCCCATACCCTCCTCCCCCTTGAACCAGAAGAAAACAAAAGAATGTCTGGGATACATTCTTCCCTGGTAGAAAGAAAGAACATGAGGATCCAGGATACACTGGACTTAGTCACGAGAACATTGTCCTCTCAAACAACATTCCCTAAATAACCTGGTACATTCCAGTTCTGTAATTAAGTCCCTGCATTTGAAGTAAACTACTTCAACTTAACCACTTTATATAGGACTAATATTTATTATTATTACGCTTTTTAAATTGTTCAAATTATTTTGTTAAAAGTTCAACAGTGGACTATTAAAAGAAATTTCAGAAAGCTCTTGAAAAGCTCATTTTCCTATATTTACTAGTTTGCTTTGTTATTTAGTTACTTCCTTGGCTTCTATGTGACTATTTAGAGTAACGTATTAGAACGTTTAACCAGTGTTCTAGCAGACTAGTGAAGAGACAGTCTGTTTAGGGGGCGCCTGGGTGGCTCAGTTGGTTGAGCATCTGACTTCAACTCGTGTCGCGATCTTGCAGTTCGTGAGTTCAAGCCCAACGCTGGGCTTGCTGCTGTCAGCGCAGAGCCTGTTTCGGCTCCTCTGTCTCCCTTTCTCTCTGCCACTCCCCTGCTTGTGCTCTCTCAAAAATAAATAAAACACCTAAAAAAATAAAAGAAACATTCTGTTTGTTTGTTTCTAAGTTCATTTTTACTTTATGAGAGTATCTTTGGTACATTTGAAAATGAAATTTTATAAGGGAGATAAAATGTTTTTAAAATTAAATCTCGGGGCGCCTGGGTGGCGCAGTCGGTTAAGCGTCCGACTTCAGCCAGGTCACGATCTCGCGGTCCGTGAGTTCGAGCCCCGCGTCAGGCTCTGGGCTGATGGCTCGGAGCCTGGAGCCTGTTTCCGATTCTGTGTCTCCCTCTCTCTCTGCCCCTCCCCCGTTCATGCTCTGTCTCTCTCTGTCCCAAAAATAAATAATTAAAAAAAAATAAATCAAAATCTATTTGTGGATGCCCCATATCAGTCCATACTTCTTAGAAATGCTTTGTAATGACATCAGCCCTCCTCCCCCTAATGTACACAAGTAAACCTTGTTTGGTGTAAAACAAAAACCCTTAGAAAACACAAAGAAACACAAAACCTTACTAAAGCACAGAGAGGAGGAAAAAAAACGTTATCGCCAATGTTTTGTGAATCCGCTTCCAGTCATCCGTGTGCACATACGCACAGACAAAAACCGGGTCGTGTCGTGTGCTGTTGTCCGCACCCCGCCTTCTTCCCGTGGTAATGCATGGTGCACATTCTCCTACAGCAGCCAATACTCAGCTGAAATATTTTTTTTAAATGTTTATTTCGAGACAGCATGAGCAGGGTAGGGGCAGAGAGAGGGAGAGAAAGAATCCCAAGAAGGCTGCGTGCTCAGTGCAGAGCCTGATGCAGAGTTCAACCCCATGACCATGAGATCATGACCTGAGCGGAAATCAAGAGTTGGACGCTTGACTGACTGAGCCAGCCAGGTGCCCCTGAAATATGATTTTCATTGCCCTGTAGTATTCTGTGGTATGAATCTGTCATTGTATCCTTGCCCAATCCCTTATGTTATTTTATACGTACTTTATCACTCAAACTGATGGTGGTTTTCTCAGGATAAAGCCCAGCAATGATATTGCTGCATCAAAGAGCACACTCATCCTCCAGACCTTATTATTACCCAATCTCCTCCGGGAAGGCTGGTCCCAAAGCACACGACCTCCATCTCTGTGTGAGAATCCTCACTGGGGCATTATCATTTCTTTGAATCATTGCGAATTCTATGGCAGTGAAAGATAGATTTGTATGTTCATTCTAGTTTATACTTCCAAATAAGAGTAGGGGTGAATACCTCTTCACATCGCATCTCCTTTCCTGATTTATCACAGGAATCATAATATAAGAAATGCCTGTTTCTTGGAGTAAATGCATTTCCCAGCCCAAGGTACTATATTAAGGTATTACAGATAATAAAAGTAACAGCGCCTTGTTATAAATTCTGGGTGAAGGCCAATGGTCTCTCGGTGTTTCTTCTTAATTGATAAAATTCAGTTGTCCGTCTTTTAGCTCAGAATCTTAAAATGCTTTCCAGATCCCAGGTAAACTTGTTAAAACACTTTTTAGGTACTTGTTTGTAGGAGTTCTAATCTGCCTCAGCAACTCCTGACCCTCCAGCCTCACCTCCAGTCTGGGAGTGATGAGAGCAAACCAGTCTGAACTCAGGTACCTGGTTATTTACCTAACTCATACACTTTGCTTATTTTTTTATTACTGGACTCTATTTTGATCTTTGTATTATTGAGTTGTCATTCTTTGAAGAAATTGCAAATGGCCCTATGAAGAAACCAGGTTACAGAAAAGCTGAATATAGTGAGATCCCATGTGTCTAAAACACACATATATTTATAGAAAGTCTGGAAGGAAATAACTAAATTATTAACAATTCTGCCTGAGAAGTAGGATTGTGAATGATTTTTCCTTTTTTTTTTTTTTTTAAGTTTATTTATTTATTTTGAGAGAGACAGAGTGCCAGTGAGGGAGGAGAAGAGAGAGAGGGAGGCAGAGAATCCCAGGCAGGGCTCCACACTGTCAGCATGGAGCCCAATGCAGGGCCCGAACCCGTGAAACCATCGAGATCATGACTTGAGCTGAAACCAAGAGTCGGACGCTTAACTGACTGAGCCACCCAGGCACCCCATGAATGATTTTTCTTTAAACATTTTTGCTTACGTGTACTTTCTATTTTTTTACAATAGATTAAAAAATAGCATCCCCAATTTCTTGCATAGTGGTGACATCTAACACCCACCCCCATCGGGCAGCACACAGAGACATCAAAAGACGTCAAAAGATGAGCAAACGATGTGAGTAGGTGATTAGCCACAGAAGGAGAAGCACAAATGGCCAATATGAAGAGGTATTCGTTCTCACTACTCGTTGGATGTCTAGATTAGAACATATGATTCCATTTTCACCTATAGAATTAGCAAAGATTTCAAGAAATGACAATGTCTAATGTTGGCAGGAGGCTGGAGAAGTAGGCATTCTCACACACTGACGGGGAATATACTCTGGAAATCAATTTGGCAGGAGCATATTACTTTTTGAACATGTCTGTGTACTTGTATATGCATTTAGGGCTGATTCAAATGCCAGGTTCCTTCATGTCAATCTGTGGTGATTTGAGACTTAATGAGGGGTGGAGCTATATCATTTCATCCAGCCCTGTGACCAGAGAGATACTTCAGAAGTGCTTTGGAGGGTGATTATGATATTGATAAATAGTTTAGCACCCTGAATGTACAAGCAGTCGTCAGTCATGGACAGAAAGCCTACTCAGCAGTCAGTGCCTTGCTAGATCTATGAGGGATTCAAGAAGAATAAGGTGGGGTTCCTGTTCTCACATCTGAACTCCAGAGTCAGGACAAAGCTCAGTCCAAAATGGGGAAGTGTGCAGGTAAGCTCGATTGTGAAGTAGAAACTTAAGGGCTCAGCAATCCGCCAGCTCATAATCATCCTTGCAGAAATAGCGAGGACCCTGGGGAGGAGGAGCTCCTGTCTCATTTTCCCTGCTCACTCCATCTTCCTCCCGCACTGATGCTTTGGTGAACACTTACCATGCAGCACGGCGGGTGCATCTGAGTTTGCCTTGTTTCCCTGGCAGGCAGTGAACTCTTTCAAGTGTAGCCCAGGGCAACCCAGATAGTTGATGAGGGAAAGTTTCTGTGTTGAAATATTCCAGGTGATAAATGTAGAAGGAATGATAGCGTTAGAATCTTACTATCTTGCAAAACGTCCGTGGAATAGTGGGTCTAGGCACTGATTGCTGGTGGTGGTTAACATTGTGAGGGACATCTAGTCATCAAGGGCCGCCAATGGGAATATGAAACACTACCTATGAAATGTTCTTGCATGGGTGCCTGGGTGGCTCAGTTGGTTAAGCGTCCCACTTCAGCTCAGGTCATGATCTCATGGTTCATGTGTTCGAGCCCCGTATCAGGCTCTGCACTGACAGCACAGAGCCTGGAGCCTGCTTCGGATTCTGTGTCTCCCTCTATCTCTCTCTCTGCCCCACCCCTGATTGTGCTCTCTCTCTCAAAAATAAATGTAAAGAAAGAAAGAAAGAAAGAAAGAAAGAAAGAAAGAAAGAAAGAAAGAAAAATATTCCTGCCAAACCGCTCTCCCCAAACCCCCCCAAAAAAACAAAACCCAAATCAGATTGAGCCTCTAAATCTAACATTTGATTTATGGGAAATTCAGGGGAGGAGCAACATGTTAAATAATACTAGAGGAATTCAATCAGAAGAATCCAAAATGGGGGAACTCTATGGAAAAATGTCCCTTATTCTTCAACAAGTAACAAGGAGGAAGAAAGGAGGGAAGAGGAAACTTTAGGTTAAAACTTTAGGCATATCAGTCAAATGCAGTATGTGGACCTTGCTTGGATCCTGATTTAAACAAACCAATTATTGGGGCGCCTGGGTGGCGCAGTCGGTTGAGCTTCCGACTTCAGCCAGGTCACGATCTCGCGGTCCATGAGTTCGAGCCCCGCGTCAGGCTCTGGGCTGATGGCTCGGAGCCTGGAGCCTGTTTCCGATTCTGTGTCTCCCTCTCTCTCTGCCCCTCCCCCGTTCATGCTCTGTCTCTCTCTGTCCCAAAAAAAATAAATAAATGTTGAAAAAAAAAATTAAAAAAAAAATAAACAAACCAATTATTAAAAATATATATATAATTATTAAATTAAATATTAAATTAAATTAATTATAAATATAATTAATTAATTATAAATTAATATTTATAAATTATAAATAAATTTATTTTAAATTTATAAAAAATAAATTATAAATTATATTAAATTAAATATATTAAATTATTAAATTAAATTAAATATATTAAATTAAATTATTAAATATATATATATATAATCATGGCAATTTACTACTAAGGGGGCTATCTGATATTAAGGAATTAGTGGTGAATCTGTCAGACATAACAATGTTGCTGTGGTTTTGTAAGCCCTCCACCACCCCGCTTTTTAGAGGCATAAACTTAAATATTTACAGATGGAAAAAAGAAGAAAGGCTGGCGATGGAAAGGGAGATGAGAATAAATGAGTAGGTATTAATTCTCCTGAACTACCGGATGTGATTGCAGGTTGACTGGGGAGTGTGACACCCTCTTCCCCGATCCTTTCCCTTTGCCACAAGCTCTGACTAAAGCATGCCTGAGACTGTCAACTGAACAAAATGTGCCCTCGAGAAAAAGAACACACTAGCAAAATGCAGTACTTCCATCACGTGCAGAAAACTGGAATCCGCTTCAGACCGTGCCCGCGGCGGCGGCGGTCAGGCCTCCCGCGGATCCGGCTGATAGCACACTTCCTGCTTCAGGGACTGTGTTCTTTTGTGTGGCTTCTCTGAGCCCACCGCCTGGATAAATCTGCTGCTTTCTACCCAGATGCTGTTGCTTCACTTGGAAACAATTATCTCCTTCTCCACATGCACCCTGTTCCCTTCACCCACATCCCTTATCATGCCATGATAATCACACACTGAAGCAGATGTAAAAGGCACAAATGGAGCATTTGCTTGCCAACTCGAGAGCCTTGTGTCATTGCACACAGAGAAGAAAGTGAGGAGGAGCCCTATCTGCCATCGCAGGACTCACACTGGAACATGTACCCATTAAAGAACAATTGAGTGGATTTTTTAGAGCTAGAATTTTTTTCCCCCATTAGTTCTCGCAGCAAACCAGGAAGAGTGGTAGTTATAGTTGCTGGCTTTTTAAGCCAGGACCCTAAGATACAGAGCTGTTGTTACCAGTCTAGAATTATGTTTGTCTTGTGAAATCGTTTGCGAATCCACAAATAATTACTGCGCACCTGCTGGGCCAGGTTCTGAGAATATTACTCCCATTACGAGGTAGACACGGTCTGTGTTCCACATGGCTGGAGCTTCTCTGGGCAGAGGGTGGAACGAGAGGGAGTTAGCAGGGACTGACTAGACGGTTTGAGCTTTGTAGGTTGCAGGGATTTTGTCTAATTGGATGGGAATCCGGTGGAGGGTTGTAGGCAAAGGAGTGACACGATCCCATTTATGTTTGAAAAGATTATTCTGGCTCCTGTGTGGAAGATGGGCTGAGGTTAGGGTTGGAGGGGTGGAGAATAGAGGCTGGAGGTCAATTAGAGATTACAGAGGTGGCCCAGGAGAGGGAAGGTGGTAAGCTGGACCAGGGATGGATTCTAGATAAGGCAGAGTTGGCAGGATTTGCTGATGGATTGGCTGTTGGGGAAGAGAAGAAAGAGAGCAAGGAAGTCTCTAAAGTTTTTGGCCTGAGCAATTGGGTGTTTGGTATTTCCATAGGGCAGAATGGATGAAAAACAGGTTGAGGGAGAAATCTTCACTTCTGTTTTTGGACTGTTAACTTTGAGACATCAATCAGTCATCCCTGTGGAGTTGAGTTGGCGTTTGGATAGAGAGATCTGGAGTTCTGGGGAGAGACCTGAGGTGGAAATACAGATTTGGGAGTCAATGGCTCTCGGATTGGTTAAGATTACCTAAGGAGAGTGAAGATAGAGAAGACAAAGGACACTCTACATGTAAGGGGGCAGAGGAGGAGCAAACAAAACGCAGCAAATCCCTTACGTGCTCCAGCAGCTCACCCCGCCTTCAGAATGTGCCACAAGCCAGTGAGGTACGAAGAAACACATGATGGAGAGAGTCATGGTAGACAAGAGAAAAGAGCCTGCCATGAAGTAGGGGTGGCAGCTGGGCAGAAATGCTGCAGGACGAACTGGTACGATAATAACAGAAGTGACTGCCAGGGTTGGGAACATAGAGGTCCACTGTGCAGGCTCCAAGTGTGGCGCCCCCTTGATGAGGGCTGAGTAGTGAAAGGCTGGCGAGAAAGTGGAGACCAAGCCTCTGGCCAGTGCAGAGTTTGCCGTGAAGGGAAAGGAAGAAATGGCTCAGGAGCTAGGGGAAGATGTGCTGTCAAGGAGGTGAAGCTTTAGTGTTGGATTGTTTGGATCTTTGGCTTTTAGAGATCCGAGGTTAAAGAACGAGTCTGTGCTGACACAGGGCAAACTGATGATTCAGGAGAGAGAGAAGGGATACTTGTAGGAGGTGAGAACCAAAGGTTGGGAAGCATAGGTTGGGGGTTGCCCTTAGAGAGAAGAGACATCTGTCATCACAGCAGGGAAAGCAGAAGGTGTGACATTCTTTCTCCAAGTCTCTTTGACGCTCAGAGGCCCCTGGTGTGTGCACCACTTGAGCAAGGCCCGCTCTCTGAATTGTCAGTAGAGGAAACCAGAGACCAAAAATTCTCAGCCCAGAGGAGTGCCTATAGCTAATGATGGACTTTCAGACACCACACTGGAAAGACATAGCTGGGCTGTGAAGAGTGTCTTGTTGGTTTCCCTGAAGCCACACTTTTTGGGTGATCATCTATGCCATTTAGGTATAAGACTGGCCATGGAAGTTGCATCATTTTTTCCCATAGGATCCCTTAACCAAGTCATGAGTCCTCAAGCATTAAAAGGAATAGCACCTGAGCCCTGAGCTGGCTTCACCTCTGTAGATCTTCTTATTTTTTTATTAAAAAAAATTTTTTTTATTAGTTTTCTTCATTTTTGAGAGGCAGAGACAGACAGAGCGCATGTGGGGGAGTGGCAGAGAGAGAGGGAGACACAGAATCTGAAGCGGGCTCCAGGCTCTGAGCTGTCAGCACAGAGCCTGATGCGGGGCCCGAACTCACGAACTATGAGATCATGACCTGAGCCGAAGTCGGATGCTCAGCCGACGAAGCCACCCAGGCGCCCCACCTGTAGAATTTATTTTGTGCCCTGGGGTTGTATTTTAAGACTAAGTTCATTGCCCTTTTAGAATTGACTCCCAGGGGAAAGATTGTGTCTCCCCAAAATTTACCATAATTACTTTCATGAGGAAACAAGAATATCTGACCAATCATGGTTTCCTTTTTCTTTTGCTATAAGAACTCTCAGAAATAAATGTAATGCTTGATCACAAGAACTTAGAGTTTTGACCTCTTAGGTTTTTATTTTCTATTTTTATATCTTTTCTTTTGTTTCATTTTTTATTATTTTTTTTACTTTGAAATAATAGCAGATTCACGTGCAGTTTTAAGAAATAATACCAAGGGATCCTGTGGACTCTTTGCCTGGTTTCTCCCAATGGTGACATCTTACAAAACTATAGTACAGTTTCACAACCAGATATTGATACTGATTCAGTCAAGATGCAGAACATTCCATCTCTCCAAGAATGCATGATGCTGCCCTTTTATAGCTACTCTCTTCTGTCCCCACCGTCTCCTTAACCTTTGGTAATTGCTAACTTGTTCTCCATTTCTATAGTTTCGTCATTTCAAGAATGTTATATACATTATGTAACTTTGGGGGATTGGCTTTTTTTCACTCAACATAGTTTTCTGGAAATTCATTCAAGTTGTTGCATGTGTCAGTGATTTGCTGCTTTGTGGATGAGTAGTACTCTGTGACGTGGATGTAACACAGTTTATTTAATTCATCCTTTGAAGGGCATCTGGGTCATTTCCAGTTTGGAGACTATCACCAATAAGGCTGCTACAAACATTCATGTACAGATTTTGGTGTGAATGTGAGTTTTCACTTTTCTGAGCTTCTATCTTTTCTAGTGAATTGTATTAGGTCTTTTTCTGTGAATGAATAGTATATAATCATCAATAAACAAAGGCCATCTACTTTCTTCTTCGTGATTGCTATTAGCATGCTATTACCCTCTATCTTCACAGCTTCCCAGTCTCTGACTCCTCTCATGGGCTGGAAAAAAGCAGATGAAAGTTGGAAGAGTTACGTAGCATGTTTGTGGGTCAAGTGGAGCCTGGGTTCTGGTATATGGTCTCAACTCCTGGCTTTTATATGAAAGCTGCTGCAGTTCTTAAGATACAGTTTATTTTTATTCTTCTCTCCAGGATTCTGGACTCTAGCAACCATGTTGGTTTCAAGTGGCTTGTGTAGAACAGGCTCAGAGATGTGGTTGGGCATTCTTTCATGTATGTAGGCAATCAAAAGTCCTAAAGGAGATGGAAGCACAGTTGACCCCCTAGCCCCACTTCAGGCTGGGTGTAAGATTTGAAATTAAGATAATCACTTCATGGAACCATGGTTTATACCATCTCTGCTGAAAAGAATGCTGGATTCAAAGAAAGAGACAGAATGAATCCACCATGAAACCCAACCCAATATTTTTGTTGAAGCCACATCGGATAGACCATCGATGGAGGAATGAAGGATGGGAAAACACGTGCACCAGTTCATTTTCTAGAACGGTCCAAAGTGACGCATACAGGGGTGCCTGGGTGGCTCAGTCAGTTATGGGTCTGACTCTTGATCTCAGTTCCGGTCTTGATCTTGGGGTCATGAGTTCAAGCCCTGTGTTGCACTCTGCGCTGGGTGCGAAGCCTACTTAATAAATAATAGGTAAATAAATAATAAAGTGACACATACAGCTAGATATGGCCCTCACTCTGCTCTACTAGCATAATATCTAGAAGCCAAATTTTATTTGCCCATTTATTTCACTCAATGCTCTGCTCACTGGGTGCCCGGTTCGGGTGGGGGCTGGAAACTGAGGAATTAAGATGTTCTTCCTAAGTTCAAGGAGCTCACGGTCCAGTGGGAGAGGCAGATAAATGTGTAGATAGTCATGACATGATGCACCAAGTGCTATTCTAAAGTTTGCAAGTAGCAGTGGTGACAGCAGCAGCCTCCAGTGATGAGGGGGTGGCGTCAGCATTGGGTGCAGGAATGTGGCCTTGCCTGTGGTTGTGACTAATCGTCTGCCCTCCCTTTATTCTTGTCTGTTTTCTAAGCTTTCCTGATAATTCTACCCAGTATCTTCCCAGTAAATTATCTGTCTACTTAAATCAACCAGACAGTGTTGATGGAGAGATAGGCCACTGGTCTCAGGTTCTTAGGAAAACTTCCAGAATTGTTTTTTTGTTTTGTTTTTGTTTTTGTTTTTTTTTGCGTGTAAATGCAGGACGAAGACTTACATGGTATAAAATGTTGAAATACTTCCATGTCAGTTGGTAAATAGACACTGGCTCTACCCCCATGGGACCCCAAACTCCCTGGTCCCTCCCTTCATTCCCTGTCCCCTATGATCTGTCATCTCAAGGGGTTACACCAGGCAGAGGTGCTCTGGTGGCATTCTTCCTGATTGACAGGTGCTTCTGGTGAAGCACCTGAATGTATGCAGTATACACATATAGGTGGATGTATGTAAGTATGTGGAAGGTGTATATTCATGACAAATTCATCCCAATGGGGTGAATCCTACTACACACACATACTACTACACATTCTGTATGGCTAATGTGAGATCTTTCCATATCAGCACTTGTAGCCTTTTCAAATGGCTCCTTGGCAATCCATTCCGTGGATTTAACCGTAAATGATTTAATCAGTTTGGGGAGGTTTCAAAAAATAGGGATGCCCTGCCCCCATTTCTTAACACCAACTTCAAGATGAAGATTCAGGAAGTCTAGGAAAGGGTTGACTCTGTGAATTTTCCAAACTTTCCAGGTGGTTCTGATTATCGGCCAGGTCTGGGATTTTTTTGGCAGAAGCAATGCATCAGTTCACCCTACAAATATGGAAAGCCCACAAAAAGCCATGAAGCTTCATTTTTTAAAAGAAGGTCT